ACCTAAAACTGTTGATGGTGACAGGGCAGGAGGACGGAAGAGGAGTTCAGTCTTGCTGTTTTTCACTCAGTCACCCAACAAATGTTTAAGGAGCACCTAGTAAGTAGGCACTTTGCCCACAACGATGAACAAAACTGACAGGGTCCCTTCCTGGGGGAATTGACTTCAGGTGGGAGAAACCAACATGAAACCAGTAACTTGCAACGCTAATTACAGAAAATAAGAACTCAACGTAAATTATGTTTAAGTTTCTCAAGGCTTCAGACAGACATCATATCACATTGCAAATCCTGTGTTTTCTATAAGCAACCCACTGATCTGGACAAACAAGAGACAGCAGCTCTAACTCCCCATTCAAAGCAGTCAGTCGGAACTTCAAATTTGTCTTCAGGAGAATTACTGAAATGAGATGTTTGTCAAGTGCCCAGCAAAGCTCCTGGAAAAGTAAATAAACTCCAAATAAATAAGAGCTCTCACTATCACTCTATGAAGCTAGTTCAACAGATCATCCTAAAACATCCAGACAACATGACAGCTTCATTCCTGAAAGTTAACCCTCATAACTGGTAAGAAACAGAAGGTGATCTGTCACAGAGTATTACCATAAATCACACTTCCAGAGAATTCCCATGTTTCACAGGGCATTTTGTAGGATTTGTCGTAGGAAAGGTGGTTTGTTTCCTTTAGAAGGCAAAGAATTAGTCTGTTAAAAAAAAAAAAAGGCATAGCTCAGTGGTAGAGTGTGTGCACAAGGTCCTGGGTTCAATCCCCAGTACCACCATTTAAATAATAAATAAACCTTATTACCTGCCCCCCACCAAGAAAAACCAAACAACATCTAATTTGAATTTTATAAAAGAAAGCAAGATGACTGTGGTGATGAGAAAATCTTTAAAAACAGATTCCTCTATAAGTGACATGATACACTTTATACAAAATCGATTGTCAGTTTTACAGTTGCTGCCCACAAGTGAGGCAAAGCTTAGTCTCCAATGAATGAAGCTAGACTACCTGGTTGCTTTCCAAAATTCTCAAGAGAACAGATTTTAAGTATATCTGAAAAGAGCTTCTACAGAAATGTGAGTCTCAGAAAATTCCCCAAAGGGTAACGTCTCTCACACATGCATGAATAGACAACCTAAAAAAGGCACTAAGTCTTTTCCAAGAGATGCTAATAGAAAAAAAATGTAAATTTATCTTAAAATGCTAAAAAGCTCGTATGAAAATCAATATTTGAGTGTCTGAATATTTGTAATATTTCTCATATAAAGTTGTTAGCTTTGCAAATAAGTGAGAACCCAACTAAATTAAAATTCAAATGTGACTACAATTTAGCCATGTTATCCAAGAAAAGTTAATAAACTTTCAATTCCTGGAGCAGGCTCCGGAGACCTTCTGTGCAGCAGTGTTGACCACAGCCGGCCTCCCCGCCGGACAGAGCGCGTTCTGACGCTGGCCCGCCACTCCCCAGCTGTGCGACCAGGCTGCATCACCCAGCCTCTCAGCCCTCTCCCTCAGCTGGGTAACAGCTGTCTCATCAGGTGTCCAAAGGACTGAGAGATCTCAGAGGGTTCGGCTGGTTCCTCCCTTCCAGGAGAGCGGAGAGGTGACCTTCCCTGCCGTCTCTGCCCTCCTCACCCCATGCACCCTCTCCCCTCTAGACAAGGCCCCCCACGTCTTCTCCAGGCAGTGACTGCTTTCCCTTGACCTCACTCAGGCGCTCTCCCCTTTACCCTCCACGACGGCAAGACCTCCTCCTGCAGTGACCACCACACCCACACATCCCAATTCTGTCTCCCCTTCAGGGCCCAGCTCAAACCTAAATCCTCTCAAGCCCAGCACAGTCCCTGCCTCCTCCATAAGCCCCTGCCTCTCTACCCTGGCTGCATCCAATCACCTGAGGAACTTGTTTTTTCATTCCCTGGAGGCTGGGCCCCAGCCAGGCTAGCTCTGCGAGGTGAGGCCCAGGCCTCAGCCACAGAAGAGACCTCTTCGAGCTGAGACCCTTGGGCCCATCATCCGAACTTCCCTGCAGCATTCTGTCCTTTTTGGTGTATATTTTAATGACAGACAAACTGTATTTAAACTACTAACTCTTGGAACCGGATCAGTATTTGATGTGTAGCCCTCAAGTCATCACAAGAACTGGGAGGCTGGTCAACTATTTGTTGAATGCAGAGGCAAAGAAATAGGATTCCAGTACTCCTAAAGTAGAGAATCCAAAAATATGGTTTGAAACAAAAGTCTACCAAACCTGAAAAACTGGCATGTCTGTAGCTCAGATGTTCAGTTCTTCTTGACTTACATGAACTTATATGAATGTATCAAAGAAAATACGACTTATCCCCAAAATAGAGGAAACATCATTAAAATTAAGCAGGCACAGGGCTAATCATGTTTGTGTCTCATAGATGGTCCCTCCCCCTCCACACTCAGGGTTCCCTGGACAGACAGCGCTCCCTCCAGCCCCCATGCCTTGAATGCACGCTACTACCTCTAACTCCCCACACTCTCCATCTGGCTCTCACTACTTGTCGTGGAAATAGCTTCTATGATGAAAAGCTTCCCCTGAAGGTCAAAGTCCTAGTTCAATGTCCCTCTTCTAGGCTCCCCTAACACTTGGTAATATCAGCCCTACCACAGCACCTGCCAAAAATAATCATTACTTCGCTGCTGTAACACAACACTGTAGATCAATTACACTTCAATAAAATAAATAAATCTTTTAAAATTTTAAAAAAAGATAAATCAGTACTTTGCTTATCTAGCTCACTCCTATCATTGTAACTCCATCATGCTGCATAACGTACAGCACTTAGGAAGTGTTCAGCGAGTGCTGAATGAATGAATGAATGAATGAGGAAAAGGTCTTCAGTTTGTTCATCTGTGAAAATGAGTGAGCTGATGTCCAAGGTCTCTTCCAGCTTCATATTCTGTCAGTGTGAAGAGTGGATAAAAACAAATGACAACTGTGTATAATAACGACTTAGGTCCACATTTGGAGAATAACTTCTAAACTGTAACACTGCAAGTTGCTCATTTATACAAGATTTTCTTTACACAGAATTTTAATATTTAAGCCTAAAGACAATAAATTGCTGTTATATTGCTTGTTATGGTTGAAGAAATCTCTCCAAAAAGCATTAAGTGCTCATTAGCAATCCTAATTTTAATACATGGTAATGCATGATTTTATATAAAGAACTATGGGAACTTCATAACTATGGATAGGTGACTATTAAAGAAATTTTTACATTTTGAGGCCTAAATTGTGATAGGTGGGTACCCCCTAAGTTATAGTCATTACCTAGGAGAATACTCTGCCCAGAAGAGAACGCTTATTGAAGGACCTATGAGCAAGGTCCATCCTCAGCTCTGGCCCAATTTCAGTTTCACCCTCAAATAGAGCTTTTATTAAAAACAGTCATTGCTACAAAGAAGGGGTGCCAAAGTGGAGATTAAGCTTTGGAATGTGATTTTATTTGTCTTTTAAAGCAATGATATCCAACACAGTGGTAAATTATTTCAAATAAAATAATACAAGTATTTTTTTGTGAGGACTCAGAATCAACTGGGAAGCTAACACTGACCTACTCTAGCTGCTCCTTGTACTAACAGGCGACTAGGCTACCTACATACACTACACTTTATTTATTTACTCGGAAAGTTTTATTTGATTACAACAAAGTTAAAATCATTTAGATATGTTAATTGTATATATCAATGATTAAAATGCTTGATAATTAGACAAAACTGTATAGCGTAATAATTATTCCAACTTCATTTTCTAGATAAAAGCAAGATACAGTAAAATAATGCGGTTCCCACTGTTTTTAAACAAGCCAAAATAACATTCATGTTTTTCCTTCTAGCTCTGACAGCTTTCTCTGTTTATAACTTGCATTAATGCTGTAGTTTTCCCGAGTGCCACACACCTAATTTATACCATCGGCACTCAACAGTGTATCACATCAAGAGAAAACAGCTCTGGCTCTTTATCTATAATAATGTGCAAGTCCCTTGGTCTTGAATCCTTTGACTAATGCCAAAAGATAAATTCAAAATATTAAAAGCATTTTCAATAAACCTTAAGTAAAATTTGCCCAATGACCTAATGGCTCTGCAAGAGTAACAGAAGTATGGCTGCTCTCTAAAAAGCCTTATTTTGAGACTCACATATGTATGAGACATTAACACAAATCGAAAAGGAAGCGTACAAGGATTTTAATAAAAGCATTTTCTCTTCCAAGACTTTTTAAAAATGTCATTGCATTATAACGGGTAACATAACAAGTATAACAAGTGTATGTGGATACAAGGACCCCAGGTTACAAGAACACTAACGTGCGGTAAGGTCAGAGAAGCGTCTCCAGCCCTTAAAGTTCCTGAAGAATACGAGGCTACTTCAATATAAAGCAAGTTATCATTTAAAGACGAGATGAACTTAAATGAAACACAACCAGAACTCAGTGGTTGGAGAAAGACGGATGTGAAGGCAAACTTGTTTCTTACGTATAAAGTTAGCCCTCCTGTGTTCGAGAAAAAAAAACTGGAAGCTGTGGCTCTTCCTAATGTTGGTTATATACACAAACATTCCCCAAACCAGGCAAGTGCTCTGCAAACACAGTAACTAGAATTAGTTTAGGATTCCCCGCGCCTGGGTCCCACGTCCCAGGACCAGAACCACCAACTTTACCTACGCCGGTAACAAGGGGTTCGGAAAAGCAGGCGTCTTCAGAGGAGGGCCAGGGAAGAAAACGCAGCCAGGAAGAACTTGAGGAGAAAACTTTCCAATGTTTTGCCTGGGGTCTGAAAAGATCCCACCAGAGTCCTTAAATCCTAAAGTTCCCCGGATCAATCACCCTCGCCTCCAGCCCAGGCCACCCCAGCCTCTGAAGCCCCGTCACAAGCCTGCGGCACGCACGGCTCAAAGGTACAGAGAGACAACGACCCCACGATGGGGCCCAACGGCCCAGGACGCGCGGCCGCGCCGCACTCACCAACCGCTCGCCCGGGACACCGGAGACCAGCCCGGGGTTCCAACCCTGAGCGCGGCGTCCAGCCCAACTCGGCGATGCCCTCAGAGCCGCACGGGCGGGGCCATCTTGACCAGAAAGCGGGCCTCGCGCCGAAGGACCCTCGGCGGTCGCCCTGAGAGGAGC